AGAGCGATGCTACACATTGCGTTGCGTCGGCGTTGCGTTTTACTACATATAAATATCATATAGAATTTCATACCGCATGGTGCGCTAAAACGGCGCGAGGCGACGAAACGTGAGCGCATCCGACGGTGTAAGTAAATGGCGTTACGTTGTGACACTGCATTGCTCGTGTAGCACTCGGTGCGTTGAACTCATAGCGCTGCGACGAGGCAACGCACCTGCGGCAGCGTCTGTGTGGCATCTCTATTAGGGTCATTTGAAGTCGACTAAACTAACACAACAACTAACTAACGCAACAACGACTAAGTTGAATGTGTACAAATGTTATTAACAAAGAGCAACCCCTAGAGTTTCTTGCTCATCCTTCTCAGGGGAATCTGCCTTACGAATGAGCGGGAGAGTTTAACCATTGTGACGATTTCAAGTGTAATAATGCTTACCTATGAAATAAAGATTATTTTGAATTAACTAAAAATAGTTAAAGTGATAATAACATTTCGAGTTCTTAGGTTTTCGCGATTGTTACACATAGGAAATGAAACTATTTTTCCGGATTTAAATCGCGTATATTTGTTTTTTCAAACAAACCGACGTTTCGGGCCCTTTGCAGGTCCCATGGTCACGTCAACCGATAATAACATTCTTTATCACAAATTTACGTATGATGTAACTATGGACATTTTTCGAAAAAAATTCGTGAATGATATAAATATCCGTTTATTTTAATAATAAACTGAAGGATGTGGTCAGTCCAATAATTACAAAAGGAGAATATTGTAAAATGGGCATTACCACTAACGACACTTGGTGAAGGAAAATATTATATTAATTACGACATTCTGAACTCAAGATTAGAACTACGATTAACACTAATGAAAAACTATATATTTAAAATGCACGCCATGTATAAGTCTTAAGAACAACATACAGATCAATTGTTTTATATATTACCCCGAAAAAACCCAAACTTACGGGACGACTAATTGTTATAAAAAGAGCGCTTTTTTCCATTTTAGTCGCATAATAGTTGTCAGGGTGGCTTGCGGCTACTCTGATAGATATATAATACTTCAACACATTTGCTTTCAAGATGCAAAGTTGCATCGTATTCCTTGCAGTTCTCGTTGTCGTCCGTGCTATGGACGTAGCTTATAAAAAAAAATATTTCTGAAAATCTGGGGAGTCATGTTTAAATGACTGCAAGATAACAAATGCTTCACTCACTACTCTCTAACACCACAGACTTGCATAACTGGAAACGAAACTGCGTCTGTATATCACACATACAACAACAGAGTAATGTAATAGTGAATGTAAGATGGACGTTTATTATAAGGACTATATGTGCGATGCAAGTGTGATCCTATAAAGTACAGCTCTGCTCAAGTCAACATTGAGTATAACGAGAAATGTTTCACTCAATGTGAACGAGTGTTTGAATAAAATGGGGGCTCGAGGTTTATGTGCGTCGCCTGGCACACGACCTTCATTAAGTACATTCTTCAACGTTCCTGTAGCAAGAATATTAGAGTGCATGAATAATACAAAACTAGAGACTAGAGAGCATTTCCTCAACAGTTCAGCGTTAGCTGAAAAGTTAGAAGAACAAGAATACTTACAAACCGTGTCTCTGAACGAACACAGAAATCCTTTTATACTTGTATATATACAAGTACACGTTCCAAGCAGCTCTGAATGATGAAGACCCTTGGGTACTAAAGGTTCTTAGAGCTAATATTACTTCTGATACCATACGCTGCAATGACGAAGCTAATGGAGGACTTCTGATTTGTCACCTAATTGGTGAAGTCATAAAACCATATAACATTGTTCTTTTTGTCACGGCTGGTGAAAATTTGCGGAAATATGAAAATTACATCTACACATAGCCCTTACGAAAAATTTCAGATCAAGTGACAATTGTAATTACGTACGAAAAAAAATCACTTTTGCGTTTGGACTTAACTTCATTTTTGTGGAAGAGGGTAAGGTGTTATCTATATGAAATTAGGGGCAAAATTGTTTGAAACAATTTGCCGTCTGACATTGAAAGTTTTGGGTTCGGGAAGTCTAAACTTTTATTTAAAATATTATCGCCAAAGACAGGGTTCTGTGGAGTATTTTGGGGGAGACCTTTGCCCAGCAGTGGGCAAAAATATTCTTTCTTGTGTCCCAGCAATTTCTATTTATTGTTGGTAAACTGAATGTTATTGTTTGAATATTTTTTTATTGATTCTATAACCATCTTAACGTGCCGGTATGTCAGTCTTCGTATAAAAACGTAATTTGGGGCTATAAGATCCTCCCTCGAGGGGCTGGTTGTTCCTAAGAACAACTTCCCCAATTGACCTGCAATCATATTTAACATTTTTATGACCATTTTTCTTTGTTTTAAGGATGTTACCCTTATAATTCCAAATTAATATTTGTACATAATTGTTGACAGGTAAGACAGTGTTGCAAACTAATTAATAAACCGCAAAGCTGAATGGATGATTCAAATTACCTGATATTAAGTTTGTTGAATATTACGTTTTTTTAATATTATGAAATGACATTTTGTGAAATGACTCCACTAGTTTGTTATAATTATTATTACGAAGTATCGAACTCTAAGAAAAATTACATCGATCCGGTTGGATTCAAACCAGAGCCTTCAGCATACCGTGCCTGACGCTATCCCTAACAGAGCTACGGTACGAACCAACAATCTTTACGAATTTATTTACGTGCTTGTTGCAGATTTTTGTTTTTGTTTTTTAACGACTTTTTTGTCGTAGCGTATAAATACCTAATAGTTAAACGACAAATAGGTAACATTAGAAGAAATATTTGCTTATGTAGGTGACATAAGCAAATCCATTCGCGTCTCATAGCTTTATGAGTTTTAAGAAAAGACTTGTGCATGGGATTACAGCGCGAGATCCCCTTGTGTAAAGCCGCGTTGTGGCGGTGCTATAGACATCTGGGACTGGATCTATCGGTAGTTCTATAGTATTATTGCTATGTAGCACTACGCACGATATACACGGTTTGTTCATGGAAATTAAAGATGTTATACTTAGCGTGTGGCAGGCTTCCTCTTAGTACAAGTCAAGGTAGACCCCTGACTCGCTACTAGACGGATCGAGCCGGGTGTCTGCTTCCACTGGACACTTTGCCACTTTAGCCGATTTTTAGCTAGATCTAGCCATATTTACGAAATGCTTTTGTAGCTGACAGCTACAAAAAAAATATTTCATAGCTAAATCTTTTAGCCTTAGAATAATAACGCATAGAATGATAGTTTCATATCAAACGAACTGTCACAAGTGAGGCGAAAATCAAATTCATGTAGGCTAGTTTTAGTAGTAGGTTAATTTTCGGTTTTAGTGAATTTATATGAAAATACAAGTTGAAACGCGTTACTTCCTTGAGGAATGTGATGGTAGTATCTATTTTATGTTTGTCTGACGTATTTTTACACTCATTTACCGCACATTTCGCCATTTTTAGCTAAAATTCTTGAGCTGTTCGCGGCGCAAGTTGACCTTGAGCACTGACGGCCCGCCCGCTCGTGTAGGCCCATTGGGAGCGCTTCAATTTGCCTCACTTAGCGTGTGCGGGTTCTATGCGTTATTATTCTAAGCTTTTAACTACCATCATTAGCTATTTTTATACACTTTAATAAAAGTTATGCTTTTTCAGTCAATTTCTAATCAAAAAAGTTAATTAAGAGCCATTAAAAGTGTAACAAATTAATGTTGTCGTAAGTTTTGGCAATGACAGCTTTAATCTTGCCTCATTCTAACGCTAAAGTGGAGAAGTATTTTCTGTCATGAACATGATTAAAAAGAACATAGAATCAATACCTAAATCAATCTAAGAGCTTGCTGACCTTAATATCAAGGATTAGGGTGTTTTTGAAGAAAAATAATGAGACATGTGCGACTTACTCAATCCCAGACAACATCCTAAAACTAAGAGGAAAAACAAAAACTAGAAGAAAAAAAATCAAAAATGAAGCTGGACCTTCAACATCACAAGATGATATCTTTTTGGATTTATAATTAGTAAACCAGACTTGCCCCAACGAAAATTCTCCGTCCGACCCCAAAATTCAAAAGAGCTGGGATAATATTCTGTGCAAAAAGACTTAATGAATCATTGCACCCCAATAGACCGAGCGCATCTGAAAGCGGCGTCGTAGTGGGAATCTGGCCACTGACTACACGCTTTCCCCCTGCCAGTGCCAGTACCTTCCTGAGCGCCGAGACCATGCGCATAGCTGCAGGCCTCCGCCTTGGTGTCCCAGTTTGCTCCCCTCATCGGTGTCCTTGCGGCAAAGACGTAAGTGCTCTGGGTCACCACGGTCTTTCCTGCCAGCTGAGCGCCGGCCGTATCTCCCAGCCCCCAACGACATCATCCGCCGGGCCTTAGACACTGTTAACGTGCCCGCTATTCTCGAGCCACACCAGCAAGTGGGCTGGCTCCGCAACTGAGCTGGCGGAAAGAATAAAAAGTAATAGGTACCAGGATCTCGGATCCGACTACAGCCTTTGGAGTCGAAACCCAAGGGCAGCTCCTTGCCCAACGCATTAGCATAGCAATACAAAGGGGCAACGCTGCCAGCATCTTGGGCACCTTGGCGCGGGGATCCAATTTTATTCATATAATTTAAAAATCCTAGTTTTACTTTCTAGTAGTTAAGCTTTTACTGTCTTTTTACCTTACCTGTATATTATCTTAATTAAATACATCCATTGGGTTACTTTTATAAGAATTAATTTCTTAGAATCTAGCAACTTTTTTACTTAGGTTGAGTTATTTCCTCTCTGGGCAAGTTGGCAACACTGGTGCCATGTGCCGTCCTGCGCCTGGGGCAGGCAGTCGGATATAATTATAAAACGCGACGGCACTTGGACGCGCCCACCTCCCACGGCTGGTTTGTCTTTATTTCGTAATATGTGACACGTGTCCTTTTGTTTTTTTATCTGGATACTAGTCTAGGCACTCACGATTTATTAATTTAACCATGAATGCCTAGATTATAATAGTACTGCGTTTTATTTATGATGTAGGACCTCGACAATGTTACAAAATTAATTCGAGTCGCATATGCCGCGTAAAACATTCGACGTGCAGTTTCTAGAAGACATAATTTTTACGCCTGCTGAGAGAGGTAGCAATGTTGAAGTATTTAGGCACAGCGTTTAGGATGTTGCGATACTCCTGAGTGAACTCTTCAGGGTGGTTGTTTAGATGCGAGTGTAGTGCCACGTCCATTATGGGCTGAGATTGCGCGTACGCAGGCACCTGGGAACAGAACAGTAATAACAAATCATATATTCCGTAAAATTAATTGCACGGTGTACACACATATTATAAGTACAGTAGATATATAACCAGATTTGGTCAGTGAGTTAAAACCCAATCAACTCAATCACCCGAACAAGCTTTTTACCCATAAACAAACAAACAAATAAATAATAAACAAAGTTTTTACTCATTCTTGCCCATAATCGTGGGCAGAAACAGTGACAACGGAATTTGATGTACTTAATTCCGTCTTTATTAGAAATTTAGAATTTTTTTCACGAAAAAGAGGCAACTCCACTCAATATCACCTGTGGATTCTCACTTACTACTTTTTATGAAAATCGATTCAAGTGCGGCGATTCAGAAAGGCGAACTTGTTCCATCACGTCTGTGATGGAACGAATATAATATAAATGTGAGTAAAATATGGGTCTCCATATTTACTCCAGTCTACTGCTGGACATAGGCCTGCTCTAAAGGTCGCCACAACGACAGGTCTTGTGCTGCTTACATTCAGCGGATTTTCGCAACCTTAACCAGGTCATCGGTCTGTGTTGTGGGTGGTCAACCCATACTGCATCATCCGGTATGCGGTCGCTATTCGAGAACTCTTAAGCCTCCATCGACTATCTTTTTTTTATTTTATTCAACAACAGCTATAAATAAAGATTTACAATGAAACTTTTAGGTAAACTAGTCAAAATCAAATACAGTTGTTCACATTCTCATTTTCAAATATCTAAATTATGGTAAGAGTTAACACCTCATAACGAAAAATAAACACAAAGTACCCTCATTATGAAGCATAGCAAAAAGAGTAAAGCGATGTGAAGTGTGGAATCCTGAGTAAAGCGATGTGAAGTATGCAATCCTGAGTAAAGAAATGTAAAGTGTGCAGTCCTGAGTAAAGCGATGTGAAGTGTGCAATCCAGAGTAAGGCGATGTGAAGTGTGCAGTTCTGCGAGGAATGTGCCCCGCCCACTTTCACTTTGTGTCACATGTTTTGCGTCTCCATAACTGAAGTCCTAAACAATTACTGTCAAATAAGTAATACTCGACCAAATTAAAGTATGAAGCTTTATTCGCATCATGCGTCTTTTAATTGTTTCGGGCGGGGAACGGGTTTGGAGCCCCTGATTCGATCTTGCAGTGAAATAGACCTTTAATATACATAAGAAAAATTCGCAAAAGCAAATCATACTTACAGATAGAGTAACGTTAAATTGTAAAGGTGCAAACACGTCACTGTACGTAGCTCTTGAATGGTATATTAAATAGATGAGGCGGCTGTCTTGGATGAACGTCGGCCGGGCCGGAGAGTCGAAAGTCCATGAGGTCAAGTTGACGTTCGCATGAGGCCTTATCGTTATTAAGTTTTGGGCTGGAGCTGGAATTATTCCAAATTTAGTATTGAAAAGAGCTGTGACTATTTGTGGAACGCCAGGTATACACAATTCATACAGAATGAAATAATCTTAACCCTGTTGGTATAATAATATTATTGCACCGATGAATGTTACAATACACTAATAAAACCATTTTCACTTCTTTTACTCAAAGCGTACGTGGACCTAATGATCTCGGTCCTTCGCACGAGTCATGGATGCAGTAATTGCTTTTTCTGAATTCAAGTTTTGAATTATTTCTTTACTAATCAGGCCGTTTGTTTTAAGCGTGTAAACAGTAACGTAAAATACCAACTGCCGACTCTTTCTTACTAATTCGACAAAGTTAGTTCCGTATAAAGATTAATGCGTAGAAGTGTTCATACTAGTTGTTTGTATTATACAGATGGCACGTGCGTTACCGAGCCGGCTCACTCTTTTGTCCTATTATATTCCAAAGATGAAGCGATAAAACGAATCGGTGCAAATTATATTTTGTCAACTACATATATCCATCGATTTGAAGAAAAAATCGACTGCCATTTACCTACATTTTTTGGAATATGGAAGCTTTCATACCTCCAAAATCCTAAAATAAGGATTTTGGAGGTTTTTCGAGTGAAAAATACATGATTTATCACTTGGTCCACGCTCCTTGGCGCAGATATCACCTGCTACTGGCCAGTCAACCCGTGACCATGGAGCGTGTACCTGTTCCGAAATATCAGGAAAATAAAAAGTATAACCACGAAAGTTTAGATAGTTTATTTCTATAAGATATATGCTACAAATGTCGCCAGTCTGCCTGCTAAATGTGAAATTGTTGTAAACCTTCTTTTCTGGAGACTGTGCCCAACAATGAACTCACCTATCATAACAAAGTCGAATATGCAGGTACTCCCGCTGCAAGTCTTGTTCTGGACCGTCAGCGTGTTGTCGGGCACGAACGGCGCCGGCGGACCCGTGTACAGGAACAAGGCGTTCACGCTGCGGCCATGTAAAAGATAAAAATGTATTTATTTGTCAGCAGTGCCGGCTTTATCTTTCGTGCAGTGTATACGACGGGTGCAGAGCTAGAATTACAGTCGTCCGAAGGTAAATAAACCGTCACGATAAATATTAGGGGGCGCTGAGCGCCGCTTGCGACGCCTCCGAAGAACCTGCGTCGAAGTAAACGGGCTATTGATTTCCAACATCGTTTACAATTGCACCGTTTGCATCCGAATTTCCGATCACTGGGGAAAATATAACTGTAAATTTTGATCGCGTGTCTACTAGATCGCGTGTCTACTAGAGTATTGATTGCACTAGCGCGCTACATGGGCCGGAGGAATTTTCCGTTCCGTTAGTTTATAGCTGCGTTCTACATGAAATTTCTACATATCAAATATTTTTCAACCAATAATTCTCTATCTGAGTTTATAGTAACTACAAACTTTAGATCTTCTTGTGGTCACTAGGCGCTAGAGGCTCAAGGCTGCCGATTTAAGCTTGACAAGTAGGGTAACTCCCGCCTATTCGACGCATTAAATTGTCTGCCTTTGTCACATTATAATTTTAGTTGTACCTACAGATTGTAAAATATATCGAAAAAATTAAGACGTTCTTCACAATATTCTTGTGCTATATTGAAATAACCTTTGTTAAATGTAATACTATCTATGTATTGATATTTTTATACCAGTATCGCGGTTTAGTATCTAAATTGCTTGAAATGCTGAACAATTCTGAATTTTGAGTTATTGTTATTTAAACAACCATAAACACAACAATAAACACGTCTATTATTTTAAAATTGAATAAACGATCCAATTCTATATTGCATGACGTGTGCGACAACCCGCGTTATGCAACGTGAGTGCACTGTCAGATTATGTGAATGTGTGTGTCCGCACTGCTACGTATACCACCTTACTCGTGTTTATTATCAGTAGCCGTAGACCTCCTTGTGAAAGAGTTCGTTCAAGGAAGTGTTGCCACCTTAGCTATTTCTGTCGCCAAGCAGTAATGTTAGCATTACCGTGTTCCGGTTTCGAAGAGTAAGAGTGCTGGAGAAATTACAGGCACATGGCACTTGTCAACTTATGTCTCAGGGTGACGGGCGCAGTGGCAGTGCCCCTCAGATCTTTGCGATTTAAAGCTCTTAGTGGCACTGCGACTGTTATGGATAGGCGTGTAGCTTAGCATCAGGCTCACGACTTGTTCGTCCATAATATCACTAAAAAAATACTATGTTAATAGACACAAAGTACTTACAGATTACGTCCGAGCCACCCGCTGCCGAGCGGCAAATTGCAAAGTACGTAACGTTGACAATCATCGGCAAAGTCCGTGCGGGATTCCAAGTTGATGCCTTTCTCCCTCAGCGCCGGCAACACTCTCGACGTGGAGTAAGCGTCGATCTTCGTCACCACGATACCCGATACGCAATCTGTTTCAGCATTGTTGTAATCGTATGATATTATTTCCGAGTGCTGGAAAAAAAATATCGATATTACTATTAATTAAAGGTAGTATTGCCATGTTCTGGTTTGAAGGTTCGGAGTCAAGGTCACCACAAGCATAAAAGATTTGGGCTCAACTTATAAGCAGCTCCTAAATTTGGTATTAAGTCTCTCAATTAGTGGTGTAGGAAACGCGTATGATGTGTTACGACTGATCTATTATCACACGGTTAATACACCTAGATACTTACCTATATAAATATGCCTAAGTATATTTAAGCGTTAAAAGTAATTGTTTTTTGTAATCAAAACATAAATGCAAGAGACTTCGATCCGTATTAACAATAATTGATCGTGTATCTAGTATCTTGCGATGTATCTCAAACTCTCCTGTCTACCTAGTCTATCTAAGGAGATCCATTGGTATCCTGTATCCCGTACTATTTTATTAATCAAGACCCTGCATTCAAAATCAAATAATCATTTATTCCATAGGTAAAATTATTACACTTGTTAACGTCATTTTTAAACTACTGCCCATTAACTACGCTAACCTCCTGTGGAGAACGAACAAGAAACTGTAGGGATTCCCCTATTCGAATAAACCTAAATGCTATGGAATATACTTTGAATCAAATTTGTGCGGAATATAGAGTCATGTCGTCTTTCAATACATCTTTATCTAACACGTACTCTTCAATTTTGTAATATGATTTTCAATTAAAATAATTTTTATGTATATATATATACAGTTCCCCATAAAAGAATCGTTTACCTTAGTTAAACGAAATCGTGGTACCATGAGTTTGGACTTAATTCTAAGATCAATATTTTTGATACCTTCTTTCTTAATGAAATAATGTATATTTTTACGAGCATACAAAATATTTTAGTAAATGTACTGTGATGCCACAGTCATGATACTGAGAGAAACCCGAGAACCTAAACGGTAAGAATGAATCGCTCGTTTTTGCGACACAAATATGGTTTGTATATCTGCCGCTTTACCCCACATGAGAATCCCGTAGGACATTATACTATGGAAGTAAGAAAAGTAAACTAGTCTAGCAATAGCAACATCGGTAAGCTCAAGTATTGTACGGACTGTGTATGCAGCAGAGCGTAATCTGCTGGCTAAGGAAGATATATGTAAAGTTTACATGATTAATTAAGATTGAATAATGATCTTTATTACGTATATTGTGTCGTTTGTCATTCAAGTAAATTGTTTTTTATTTGCAAATGTTTTTTGAACAATTGTTATTCATTAATATCGAACATTTCTTAAAATTCTGTTATTTACTCACTTCAAGAATGTCAACAAATGCACTGTATAAATAATAAATAATAAATAACGCACACACTCAATATAGCCCCGCACTAGGGAAGCCCTGTGTCGCGGGTGCCATGGACACACACATAGACAACCACAAATTACACCCAAACTCACGAGAGAAATAAATGTAAGCCATACAAACATTTCTCCAGGCCCGGGAATCGAACCTGGGACCTCAGCGTGGCAGTCCGGCATGGTAACCGTTCGGCCACGGAGGCAGTTAAAGTATGGGCTCGACTTAAAGTTCGACTGCGTTATGGCAGAGTTATCAATGTGATGTACATAGAATTAATTAAACTCGCGATACTCACAAACCAATAATGCCTCTGCACGGAAGGCCCGTCATCCTGGTACGGGCTGAAGGGAATAAACATGAGCACTATGCAGGTGATGGCTACGGGCGCCACTACCATCCATAATCGCTTGCGGGAAAATAGCAATTCGATGCCCGACTGGAACCAAAATTAGACAATAGTAAAACATCTATGTAACATTTTAATGTTATCAATTTGATGCTTAATTTTCTTTACTTGCTATTCTCCCAATAGTACTTCAATGACAGACTGAAAGCTACTACAGAACTACAGATGACGTTACGGCAAAAAAGGCGTTAAACAACGATCTGCAACCAGCACATAGATAAATTCATAAGGTCCGCTAGTTCGTTCCGTGGCTTAGTTGGCACAGCGTCTGACACGGTTTACTAGAAGACGTTGGTTCGAATCCAGCCGTATCGAAGGAATTTTTTCTAAGTGTTATAACTTTGTATTAATAATGATAACAAATTAGGGGCGTAATTTCACAAATATAATTGAACATCATGGAGGTCAAACATTGTGACATTCTTAAAAACTCACAAATCAATCATTGTCTTGAATTCCGAAACCTATTCTCAGAACTCACTAACTGGACTTAGAACAAGGAAATCGTCACTGACTTTGGGGATACAAATTAGATAGGTAATAAATAGAAATGTTTAAGAACGTTATTAACTATACTGTTAACATTTACATTGTTAACAATATGGATTTGGCTAAGACATTCCATACGGTATTCTTTCACCATCGACAAATTTGAAGAATTGAATATAAAACTCAATGTTCTCTTTTATTCGTACTTACCGTACAGACAGAACTCAACAGGCAAACATTGATTTTCTAAGTCAAGGAGGTAGCATAAACTACGGAGTACCTCAAGGTAAAATTTCGGGCCCCACTCTTTTCTTATGCCACATTAACAAATTAAGTAAATTAAACATTATACTCAACACAACATTGACATTCTACGGGGTTACTTGGTGGGAGTCTCTGAATGTGCATGGGAAAGTATTAATACTGTTAAAAATTAATTTGTTTGTAATGCTTTTACTAAGTGAGGTACATAACGTATAATGGCTGTAATCTAATGACGCTTTACATGAACGCTAGGTTGTTAAAAGACACTCAAAAAGTAAATACTGTTGTACTTAAAATATATAATTTAAAATATTGTTATGTAAATCAAGTGAACTAAGCCAGGTGATGTGGACTACCTCCACAGGCGTAATTTTATATAGAGAGAGAAACTGGGCTTGCTTAGAAAAGAAAACAATGAAACGCAAGAATGACTCACGACAGTACACAAGACGATGGCAGCAATGCCTGTGTTGATGATCGCGATGAGGTAGTCGGGTGCATTGGACCCGTTGCGCCCCATAATCGGCAACATCAGCGCGCACAAACGCAGGGCCAGCGTCAGCACGAACATGGTGGACGGCACCGACCACAGAACCTCCATTAGTAGATGCTGCCATGCTGAGAGGAAACATAGTATCAGGTGCTTTGTGAAGACAACTTGGTTTAAAGGTGCGCTGCTTCAGCCCCCTAATAATTTGATAGTCAGCATTTATACTATTACCAGCTCGATTTAATAAATTTGATTTACCGTCGAAACGATAGATATAACAGTGGCATCTCGTTTTGGGAGAAAACATGCACGCGACCCTAATTTGTCTCCACTACCGCGTCTTTTCGAACCATCAATTGCCTCCGTGACCGAACGGTTACATCCTAGTGGCAGTCTAGTCGCAGAGGTCCGGCCCAGAAGAAATAATTGTATGGCCTACATTTATTTCTCTCATGAGTTTGGGTGTAAATTGTGGTTGTGTATGTGTGTTCATGGTTCATCTCTTTTAACATTATTGGACCTAACTTACTTCATATTCTATGTAAATATATATATATATAAATAATTTTAATGAAAATTTTCAAGAAAGTTATTTATTTGTTGCACACACATAGAATATCAAATTCCGAACCGTACTTTACAAGTAACTTTTATTAACTGATATTCTAAGTTACATCCATTAGTGCTAAAGAGGACATTAAGATGTTTATATCTATCACGTACCTTGCAAACGAACGTATCTGATGACGGTCAAAGACGCCAAAGACATGAGCGAAATGATGAACAAAGGCACAGTGACAAAGTACCGTAATGTCGCGGTACTTGGTATGCATGTCATAATTATTAGTATGAAAGCTAGAATCGATCTCGTTGCGGCTTGCGCTTGCATTGTGCGAATGCAGCGATTCAGACCACTCTGGAAAAAGACAAAAAATATGCTGTAACCACATAGGGGTGACTCCATCATGAATGCATATTTAAAGATGAAAAAATCGAATATATCTCGGGTAAAAGCGTCCTATGTATAGCAGTCGAAGCAAAGAAGCAATAACATTAACGTAAGAAAATATAACCAATATGTAAGTATAAAACGATATTTTCAAAAATACTTTAGTCGCGCAAGTGACAGCCCAACTAACTGTCGCACATACGAATTGTACGGGCAAGAGTTACCCTCTTGGTTCTCCAGGCGTCGAAGGCCTGCGCCACGCAGACGGCCGTGATGGCGTACGGCAGCCAGTACATCGGGACCACAAGCCAAGGTTGTGCTAGGTACCTGGACAAGAGATAGGTACATTCAATACTGTATCGACCCTCTATAGGGGTCAGAGCTGGTTCATACTAACTTTAAGTTGATCAACGACGTTGGTGACCAAACAATAGAACACCCTGTAGGATCACAATGTGACAGAGTCTGATTTCAGTTCACGATTGTGCCAATTTAGGTGGGTACGTATATTTTTTCAGGTGCTTTTAAAAAAATTATAATTATAATTATAAAAATTATAAAAATAATAATTTAATTAATTTTAAGATAAAAATATTGTGTAATAATTATGTTTATTAATAATTATAGAATCTATAATATAATTAATTCGACCCTCCGTGGTAAAGTATCCTATGTCCAAATTGTCAAGTTTACAGGAGAGTCTTTTAAAGATTTGAATTCACTGAAATGAGCACAACACGTGACTTTAGCATGTCTCTGTTTTATTCGACAAAGCTTGTTACTCGCATAGAGTGATCATCTAACCGATATCTAGGATTTTATAATACTCTATGTAGGTAATGAGCTTTGCCGAATAAAATTCAGAACTTTATAAGGCTCCTCTGTAAACTTAGCAATTTCGACATACGGTACTTTACGTTGGAGGGGTCGAATTATCTAAACTAATTAACTAGGTTCAAGCTTGATTAAATTCCATTGTAACTTTGCTACACCCTTACAGGGTATCACATGTATAAGTTTATCATCCATGTGAAATGCAAATAAATGAATATGAAATCGATAGGTACACATTTTAGGTTATGCCGCCAATATTAATTTATGTTTTTTTCTTTGTTATCATGCAAAAACGCGCTTTTTGGGTAATTTACAATCTGGATCCCAGAGTGTCTTTGAGTTAACAATCTTACACTAGCAACACTGAACGTTTATGAAAATGTAATTTATGTTAAGAAGAATTGTAGTTTGTTAATATATAGCGATACACATAACATTTATAATACATGTTAACCTCCCATCCCTTTATATCAAGGACGTAAGCAACCAACATATTTTGAATGTAATATAAATGTCCGTCGCCAGTAAAACCTGATCCTTCATCAACCTAAATTAGAAATATACATAAGTTCATTGTACAGATCTATTTTATATTTCTAATAAAAATCCAATATTAATTAAAAAAGACAATAACGTTACTACATTTAAAAATAAAATAAAATAATTTCATATCCAAAAAGCCTACTATATTCTATTTTAACTGAAAAATAAAGTCATAAGTCACGGAACGCTTACATTGATGATTTATTAATTAAATTTATGAAATTAATAAAAAAAATTAATAGTAATGCTTACACCCTAACTGGGTCACATACCGTACTGAATTTTATTATGAAACCCTTCTAATGTATACATGTGCAATAATAAATAATACGTAATTAAATAAAAATAAACTCGCTGTTCTTGCCAGTCGTCTTCACAAAGTCACAAATTGATATTAGGTGTAATGTATGCGCCATTCTTTTGCCATTTGCGAGGTTTAAAAACTATACTGAAGGAAGAGCATGAAAAAAATCCGTGGTAGTGTAGTGACCTATTTAGCTCATGCAGGTTGATCTATGACGTTTGAAATAAATATTGTTAATGATAAATGTGTACAAATGTTTATTTACAAAGACCAACTCTTTTACGTTTCTTGCTCATTCTTCTCAAGAGAATTTGCCTCACGAATAATGGGGTAGAATTTAATCAATATGACGATTTCAAGTGTAAACCTATCAAATAAGGATTATTTGGGTTTGAGTAATGTAAGTAAATTTGTATAGATAAATTGTAACTTTTATTAAAACAAACCGACCTCAATAGTTCGTGGAATTACATTTATTTGTCAAGTTTTATTGACATCGGTTACTGGAAAATTATAATAATATATTAATAATAATTTTGCCAGTGTGCCACACTTAGAGGTGGAATATTTTCTTCCAATTTAAATGGGACTAATACTGAGGTACCCTCTTTCCAACAAAAAAGAATCATCGAAATCGGTTCACAAATAATCGCATAATATTCATTTAAAAAAAATACAGTCCAATTGAGAACCTCGTCCTTTTTTGCTCACCTGCGGTACGGAGTACTTTATCTCGACTATTTAAATTATGATCTATATTGAGTAAGTCTATATTGAGTAATAAATCATATTATTACTCAATATAGACTTGTTTAGCAGACAGGTGGAATAAATTGTTATATTACCTAAGTTGAACTGTAGTGGCCACCATGATGAGCACGAAAATGGCGACGATCAATATTCCGGCCAGTGTCGACAAAACTCGCCCTAACATCGCAAACAGCAACTCTTGGACAGTTGTCATTTCTGAAATTTGAAACACGTTTCTTGCTACTTACAATTTTGTCAAGAATTTAGGAATTTTAATCTTGTGTGTTGTGATGCGATATAACCATCTCCTCCGGCCTCCGTGGTTGAGTGGCTTGCATACTGGTTTTCCTGGTGTCACCATCTCTGAGGTCCCGGGTTCAATCCCCGGTCGGGTCAGTGTAGAAACTAGCTTTTCTATATTGTCTCGGGTCCGAGTGTTTGTGGTACCGTCGTTGTTTCCGATTTTCACAACACAAGTGGTTTAGCTATTTACTTTGAGATCAGAGCAACATACCTATGAGATGTTGTCTAATTTATTTATTCATTCGGTCATTGATTTATTCATACGTCCGTCCGCCCTCCATCCATCCATCCATCCATCCATCCATCCATCCATCCATCCATCC